AAAAAAAAAAGCAAATAGAAAGGAAGTGGAAAAACTGACACAGAATGCTTTCTGAGTTCGAACAACTCAAACATAAATAAAATAAAAATAACTGCTTTACATAGAAGATATGCCTTCTGTATGAGAAGAGATCAGATATTAACTAAATCAGTGGATACATTAATCTTCAAATATAAAAGTATAGTTGATGGAATGTCTGATGAGAATCAAGTTTTCTACTTCTTTTTTCTTAGAAAAGGTAAGTTTTATTGAGTATCAGCACTAACGTTGGGGCTGTAAATTAGGAAATGAGATCTAACAAGATTTCAGTATCATTTACAAGTTACAGTTTACACCAAAACATAATAAGATCTTAACAGCCAAGTTCTAGTAATTTACTACTTAAGAGCATGAAAAGTCTAATACTTAACTAAGTTATATGTCTAGTTTTAAGTGCCAAGTTATGTTATCAAAACACTCATAAACTGCATTAACATGGAAACAAGTGGTTAAAGAAGTGATTGATCCCAGTGCAAATATGGAGTTCAGAGCCAACACGGCAGATGATCCTCACAAGACGAAGCCAGATATCAGCAAAGCAAAAGAAGCTAACCGGTTCACGAAATGCCATATAAGAAAACTAGAAATCCAACAACGAGTCACAAACAGAGCCTCAACAGCAATAAATAGGCCAAACAAGCTCTAGAATACTCAGCAATTGCAAAAAGAAAACTTGCACAACAACAGCAAGAAAATAACTTGATGTGAATTATGAATGAAAAATAGCAATACTTAAAAGTATGTGCAAGATCTTTTCTTTTTTTCACCATTTTGAATATTAAAAATGTCCCTTGAGATTTCAGTCTTCGCCTACCAAGCATAGAGATTGGAGAAGTTACAAAAAAGTAAAAATAGTATAACTTACTATTTCAGCACGAGCAGCTACAAAAGCTCTTGACCCCATGAAATGATTACATTTCAGCTTTGTTCGATTGACCTTGTTTATCTCGCATCACCTCTACAAAGAATATATAAATATAAGTAAATAAAATTATAATGAAACAAATATGATACTACAGCTTATTATCATTTCGCACCAGTGTTAAAAATAGCATGAAGCGAGGAAAAGCGACAACCCCCATTTCGCTTAAAGCGAGAAGCGAAGCGCTCGCTTTTTTGAAGTGAAGCAGAATTTAAAAAAATATATATTAAAATAATACTGCATAGACAACACATGTACCTATCTTCTTTTGGTGCCATTAAAAGAACAACTACATAGCACATAAGAAAAGGCAATAAAAACTAAGAAACTGTGAAAGAAGAACTGAAGGTAAAAAAAATTCTGTTGCTGGATTCCGGGAAAGAACTGGAGGTAAAAAAAAAATCGCCAGCATTTCGTTACTATTTGGACGTTGAAACAGTGAAAGAGAAGAAGAAGAAGAAGTCAGAAGAAAAAGAAGAAGAAGAAGTCAGGAGAAGAAGAGAAGAAATCAGAAGAAGAAGAGAAAATCATCACATACCTGTTGCTGGAATCTCTGTTGAAGAACCCTAGTCGCAGAGACTCTCAGATGCTCTGCTGGTTGTGTTTAATAAAAGAACACTGAAAACCCTTCTTTTTTAATTAAATAGGCTGGCAGCTGTTTAAAACAAAGAAGCGCTCGCTTCCGCTACGCGTCGCTTGGTCGCTTCTCGCTTTTTAGTGGGAAGCGGTCACTTTTTCCTACCTGAGTCGCTTCACATGGCAGAAGCGAGGAAGGGGTAAAGCGAGGAAGCGACAACTTTTTCTAACACTGAATTTCGCACTATAAGTTCTCAGATGTTAGCATAAAAGAGTGGACATAAACTAAAGAACCACATCAAGCTCTTCTCAAAGGTTGCATTTTTCAGAGGCATTTAAAGGATCCTTTTTTCTCTTTTTTACTCCCATTTTATTTTCTACTCTTATTTGTATCTTCTGTAAGGGTCTACTCATATTAATGTAAGCCATATCATCCATGAATGAATGTTGCAGCTACAAAGTAGAGAAAAATATGTTCTGAAAATATCTTCTGTATATTTTGATTGTTCGCATACTTAATTACTTAAATTACCTTTTTCTTTGAGAAATCATGAATGTTGGTTGCCAGAAAAAACATATAACGAGACAAATATGAATAAAAATTACCTTATGCTCTGGATTCGCCCACATGTCACAGAGCCTGTTCCAATTTTCCGGGGTCAACTCCGGCACTTTAATTTTACGAGCCTCTTCCTCGGAGCTTGCACTTTCAAATAGCTTTTTTAATTTGTAGCGCCATTGTCGGCTTCTATTTTTCAGAATATCCTCACAGCTATCTTTGGTGTAATGCTCGTCCAAGTTAATTTCAAACTTCTCCTACAAAATGAGAAGTTTTGAAGACACTCACAAAACAATCAAAAATTCCTTTGCTGGTAAAAGATTAAAAACTAACATATTTATAATGTAATAAAATTTACCAAAATATAGAATCCTTACATGGCATCTAATTAATGCTGCATCCTTATCATCTCTTGTGAGTTCCTTCCACTTGTTTGGAAGCGAAAGAAAGTTGCGAGCAATAATTCCTAACTCATTTGATAGCTTTGCTGATGGAATTGCCTTAACTGGCCTTCCTTTACCAACAGATAT